GTATCTTTGAGAAATATAATTTAATATGCTTGTAGTTTAAATGACGTGCAAATCTCAGGCAAGCATGTTTGGCAAGGAAGCACAGTTCAGTTTTTAAAGAGAAAACACAAGTTCCTCAGTCAATTTTAAACAAACACATTTGTGTCTCATGGCTACCTCAAAACCAGACTAACATAACAAAGCGGTTTGTCTATTTTTAAAAAGAGCAAATAGCATCGTAAGACCTGAAGCACATTCCAGATGATCTAAAGAACGGTCACCTGCCTGACACCTGTGAATGAGTTGCTCACTGTCCCATAGCAAACTTTGAAATGAAATGCAAGGTCCTCCACAAGAAACCCCTGTCTCAGTCTCATGAGGCAAAGAAGAAATACTTGTTCAAGACTTAGTGCCCTTGTTTTGTTTTTTTTTTTAACTTTGGGTTTCCAAGTATAGTTTGTTGCCTCTTTCCCACCTTTTCAATAATGCATTACACTTACTTTTTCGTACAAATGTTCAAAAAGCAACTTGAAGGCAGCAGTAGATTGCATTTCTGTTATAGAATCGAACATCGCGTTCCCTTGTTACCTAGGCAAATGTCATGCTGCCAGCACTGAGGGGATTAATTATGCAGCATTGTACACTCGAATCCTGGTGAGATTATACACTTACTTTCACTTTTTGCCAGGTTTGCTGAAGTGTGGGAAGCTTTCTTATTCGAGGAGAATATTTACTATTGTCGCTGAGGGTCAAAAAGAGTGTGGAAGCTGATGGTGCAAACGTGGGCTTTCTGTTCTTAAAGTAGTTTGTGCAAACTGTTTTCTGCTCGCTGACCTGGAAACCTTCCAGTTGTTTTGAAACATTTCTGACCCACTGTTCTCGCTTTTCGGGGTTTTTGGGAAAATGATGCCACCTAGTCTCTCTCTACATGTTCCCTTTTCCTCTACTTTTCAGGATACCTTGAGTTGTTGTCGCAGCCTCTCAGGCAACATCGATAAACTGGAAAAATTGAGCATTTTTTTCGAAATCTGATTCGTATTCTGATTCTGATTCAGTTTTGGTTTATCCAAGCAACTTGACTAACATAATAATGACCTCCACATTGTGGACTTCTTTAAATTCTAAAAAGATGCTTACAAAACACCTGAATGATGTGAGACCGTGAAAAAAAAAATGCAGATGTACACAGAAACCTACCAACTGTGGCATGTTGACTTCATATGTTGAACAGTATCGTGGATGCATAGTTGGACTGTTATGTGGTTGTAGTTTCAGACATTACAGTTGGTGATAAACTGCCATGTCCTTACTTTGCATAAAACACTGATATAACCAATAATCTTTTTTTCCTTTCAGCTCCAGGTGTTAGTTCAAAGAACCTCGTTCTGGTTCGTTAATTTTCATTGTTTATTTTTTTCGTTATTGTTGCTGTTTAGAAAATTCAAATAAATCTCACCATTTAGAGAAAAAGTAAAGTCTAATTCCAATAAATTGTGCTGTACTTCCTTGCCCCAATTACTATCATAATCTAAGGGAGTAAATTTGGGTGGCACTTGCTCATATTTCCAAAAAAAATGTCTTATAATAATGACTATGGCAGAACTGTGTCCATTATTGTTATTATCTGTAAAATGAACACCATAATACTGGTAAAGATAAGAATGATGTCACTGATACTCCTCAACAAAATTTTTTGGCTGTCCTTAAATTAAAAGCTCTTTTTCTGTAAAATAACTTATAGTGGATTAGCTCACTATGGTTCTGAACCCCTCAAATGTTTGCCCAAGTTCGTCCGGACAGATAATAGGGACCTTTAGCATCAGGTTTTTCGTGGGAAATGGCACACCGCAAACCGCAAAATGTCACGTTTGCAGTTTGCAGTTCATGTTTGAACCGCGGGAAGGGCTTCCAGCAGTAAGTGATTTATGGCAAGGTTTTTTGCCACAAAAAATTGTACAGCCTCGCGTTTTAAGGTATGAAATAGCTTTTTGTATCCCTTTGCGATGTGTTTGTCGGATTTTTGATTTCGAATCAACGAATTATTGCTGAGTTTTGGGCGATTAAAGTGATGCACTTCGACTTCATGAAAACAACATGGCGGCCCTAAACAATGAACGCGTAGTTCAAATCAATTTTATATTTCTTTCTGCCGTACTAACAAAGGAAAGCATTCTGTTCCAATCCAGAGTTAAATTCTTCTTTCTATCTTGTTTCTGAATTCATAACTTAACTCAGTCTCAGTGTTTGGTTCCTATTTTTAACGTATCACTCCGCAAATATCATTTTACTTTGCTTATCTCTTTTAGACTAGGGAGCCCAGGCTTCATAAAGCCTTCTGGTTTCCTCTGGGCTCCCTTGCAACCTTACAATTCCTATATGTATTCTTGTATTGTACTGTATTTTGGCTAAATAAAAATGAACTGAACTGAACTGAACTGAACGCCTTGCTAAAGTTTGAAATCTCGGCAACGCGAAACTGCAAACGAGTAACTGAGGTTTGCCGTCTGCAGTTTGCGGTTTACCTGATGCTAAAGGTCTCTAATGTGTCTGAGGTATAAAAACGGCAGAGTGATGTGAGCGTGGTAGCAAGACAATTAAAGTACAGCTAGATTGCAGTGCTGGCAGTTCTTGAATCCTGGAAGGCACGTATTTGAAATGAAGTGTTGAAAGGCTTGACACAACACACACGTGAGAGTCTGAAAGGTGACCTTAGGATCAGCTTGAACATCGGAAGTTTTCCTTGTATTCTTTCTTTCGCATAGGAAGTTTATATACAGTGCACAGAGAATCTAAAATCTGACTGTTTATTACAGCTAAATGACCTTTTAATGAACACTTTAGTTTCATAGATCATAGATTTCCGTAGATCAGAATAGCAATATGCGTGAAGCTTTTTGTCCACAAATGTGATGATTTCCCATCATGCTGTAGGTCCTAAACATGAGAGTCAAAGTTCTCCTCCCCCAATCACGTTCCTTAGAAATCGAAATAAGAACTTCTGTTTTAACTTCTGGAAATCAAGAAACTATTGGGGCGCTTTTTACTTGGATGAGGAGGTAAATATAAAATATAACACTACATATCCATCTTTCATGACCAAATCCTATGGTAAATAGATTTTGAGAGCGAAATAAAAATGACATTTTGCTGATGCAGATAACTTAAACTTTAATAATCTTAGTTTAGATCTGTGCAGACCAGGGCGGTCTTTTCCCCTTTCATACTTCTGTTTTCCTTGTTAAAAGTTGTGAGAACTTTGTCTGATTGACAGTCTCGGGAAACTTCGGCATCTTCACTGCCTAGACCCAGTGTCTGGTTTTCCTATAATAAATTATCCCATTTCGCACAGAAGAGCCAGAAAGCCAACCATCTGCCTTTTGCTCCGAGCACAGCGAGTTAGCAAGAGAGAAAAATATACCGACCAATCTAAGGGCGTTCATTCATGATTACTGCCAGGTGCCAAAAAATCCAGATGGTAAGATTTGTGAAAAAATGTATACATAGATATATAAAGCATGTAAATTCAAGTGTGAAAATGGGAGTCCACTTGAGTGAAGATAACAAAATTAAAGAAACAAGAGACAAAGGGTTGATTGTGAGAGAGTGGCGAAAATCGAGCTTAATGATTTACGGCATTGTTTTATTTTTCCAAGTTTGGATTATTATTAACATACTTTCACCAGCAATAGACTGATTGCCAGTAAAAATAACAATTTTCCTTTTTTGGGGCTTGACAATTATTGAATCGTATAAAGTTTAACCGCTTACACTGTATACCTTTCTAATATGACCCAGGGCGGGTAACCTCTATAGTTGGCCTATACAGAGAGGCTCTACCCAAAAGAGGGTACCTTTTTCAGGCTTGAGATAGATGAACGAGTACGAATTTCCAAGGTCAAAGTAGATGAAAGGGTAGAGAAATCTGTTAATGTGTTTTTTAATTGTTACAGGATTTAGGATCTCTTAAAATGGTCACTGGACAAGGTAAAACAGTCAATTATATTATGAGATGCTTTAGAATTTTAACATTAATGTATCAAAAACATTGTAATTAAAGTAGACAAATCATTCACTAAAAATACTCTAAACTTAAGCTTATGGTTTAGTTTTTTCAGACCATATAAATAAGACGGACAATGTGCACAGTAGAATTCTACATACTAACCATAAGGGATGTTACTGAGCTTAAAGCTACTTATCCCAATCCATATATAGTAACTCTGTAAGTAACTGTTACGTTATCACAAATTAAATTTTATAAGTATCTACATGTACTTACACACCACCCACTGCCTTTCAGTTGATCGGAGTGTGCTTGTAACGGTTGTATACTTCCCAGCTCGCCAACTAAATATTTTAAGATTCCTTTCTAGGGTTTGAAAAGAAAAATGATGATATGCAGCGATACTTTCACCGCAAGTGCAATACGTGGGACAGTTGCCGACAAATTCTGCTAATGAAAAAGAGGGAACAACAGTTGCAAAAAAACGGCAGAAAGAAGATACGGTATGAAAAAAAGGACAATGTCTACTGGTTAGATGGAGGCAAAAAAAATGCAAACCAACAGTGGCTGGAGATTGTTTACACTCAAATCCCAGCAACTATCTCTCAGACAAAAGAAACTTCTATTCCAAGTCTACAACCTGTACAAAATAAAAGAACGCCACTCTGCCCTTATCTTCCAACCTCAATGTCATCTACACACCATATTTTACAAAGATAAAAACTCAACCATCACCACCTCAACTACTTCATCCTCAAACCAGACACTAGCCACTCTGCAAGAAGACACCGCCACTTTAAACTCCCATAACAGCCACCTGCAAGTGCGCATTGAAGCCATCAAACAAAGCCAACTAGCCTATCATTCCAAGCATACCTCCTTCCTCAAGTCATCGAATCAGCTCAACAAAGGCCACCAACTCCGTCAACAACTAAACAAAATCAACATTGCCCACAGACTCTTCCTCTACCTTTTCCAGACAAGAAGCACCTTTTCTTCCTCAAACACCACTCATATCATGGAACAGAATCTAAAGTCACAACGCGTCACTTTTACTGAATCAGAAAAAATCAAACTATCTTCATCAAACAAAGTTCACAACTTCACTTCCATACTACTGCCACCTGATGCCATCTCTTTACTTAACAAAGGAACTAACTTTATCCCCACTACCACCACCACACCAAGCATCGCTTCTCTCCAAAAAACTATGGAATCTGAAGTCAACGCAGCCCTCTGTTCACTTATCCGCAGGAAAAACTACATTACCAAGCTCAAAGCATCCAAAACTTCCAAATCACTTCTCCGTTTCCATCCTTACCACAAGCAGACGCATCCTCTTCTTTTACTACATCAAGAACAATCACGGCCTCACTTCAACCTTCACCTCATTGACTATGTTCATAATACTGTTTCTCTCACTAGAGAATTTTTGCAACCTGCTAAATTGCGTTCTATCATTTATCCTAAATTATGTAACACCCACCTACACACCACATCTTACATTACAGACGTACAGAACGACAATGACATAATACTTACAGTTTCTGACAAAAACACGGGTTGGGCTCTTGTGCCTACTTCATGGTTCTCCACCGAGTACAAACCACATCTCTCTGACTTTTTTACCTACAGACGTATCAACAACTCTAACTGTAAACAAAGCATCAGAGACTCCCACACACTACTTGGCCAACTCAAAAAATGATTCTCAACTGTTATCACAAACCATGACAACTCGCGACTATTGGACCCCACCCCACAAGACAAACTGCAACTGCCCTACATGAAACTACTACCCAAAGTACATAAACTTGACGAACCCGCATCATACAACAACCTGAACAAACTAACTGGAAGACCAATTATCACTGAACAAGGCTGGATAACATCCAACCCCTCACGTCTGCTGGGAACTGAACTAGACAGTATTATTTTACAACTGAAAAACCTTTTCGAAGAACAAAACATACCATACCCTTTGATTTACAACTCATATGACTTACTGCTTTTTCTCGGACAAACTACGTATTACCAACATGTACGACTTTTGTGTCACAACTTTTGACTTCACATCACTTTACACAAATATTCATACCATGACACTACTCAAGCCATCATCACGAGCTGCAAACTGCTTAATTTCCCTAATTTTTATAGGGATTATTTGCTTAACCTCAATAATTTTATTAACCAGCGTAACTTTTTTAGGGCTGGTAATACCACCTACCAGCAAATTAAAGGGGTTGCTATGGGCAGCTACCATAGCCAACAAATTGCGGACCTAAGCGAATTTTCATTTTTTAACAATACTAACTGCCCTACCAATAGCATTTTTATTTTCTGCCGTTATGTAGATGATGGATTTATGCTAATCAGCAAAGCTAATTTACCTAATATTATCTCTAACCTTTGCAGCTCTTACCCGCCACAAGTACCTCTCACTTTCACATCAAATCACCTCACCACTCATTACCTAGATCTCACTTTGTCACTCAACCACTTCACCATCAAATCCCACAGAGTGCATCACCAGATCTACCAGAAACCACACCATAAATACATGTACCCTCATTTTTCATCTACCCAGCCCCGTCACATTTATGCTGGTATCATTAAAACTGAGACTATACGATACAGTAGACCATCAGCCTCAATAGCCGACTACAACTTCATTCGCCACCTTTTCACACTTAGACTATCCTTTACAACTGATCACTGAACATTCATTTCCATGAATCACACGCGCTGCTCACCAACGACGCCTCAAAACCAAACAGACTAATAACGTTACCAGACCCACTGTTTACTACAAGACTCTATAAAACGAAGACAAACGAACAGACAAACTGGTCAACAACATTCTACTCAAATACCACAACCCACAGATACCGAAACTCTCAAAGGCATACTGCAACTCTACTAAACTCCACACACTCCTTCTTACTAGTAAAATGTTACACTAGAAAGTAATCCTATTTAATAATTCTACCACTTATCAAATAGTGTATGTATTATATCTATACACTTACAATCAAAATATATATCTACCAGCAGCCATTTTTTCTTTTGCCAAATCTTTACTAGTTATTTATATCATCATAATGGGTTCTTCATCTACTACCATGTACATAGTTTCTTTTATTACAATTCTGTATAACGTTTAGTACTACAAATTTAACTTATTATACCCTAGACAACATACAACATCAATGGACATATGAACACTTATGGCGCTACTTAAATATAGAATTTTGCTAGCTTCAAGTTTAAATAATAATTGTTAAATTTGGCACTTATGTCAAATCCTGTTTTGATTCATTCTATTTGATAAGTTACTTTCACCACAAAGTTACACTACAATTTTTCTGTAAATACGCTAATATTTTAATCGATTTTTACTATTCCCCACCACAAGCATTTTAGCAATGTAATTCTCATTCATCTACTAGGGCTTTATCAATAAATTTATCCAGATCGTTTAATCCTAAATGTAGCCAGTGCCTATTTTACTGCAACATCACATCACATCTCCTCCTTTTTACACTGCCATGTCTTGAAACTCCTCTCCTTACATGCAGTCTAGCAAAATTTTACAATCTTTATCCCTGTGAAACACGACTCACATGCAGACAGCTCTTTCAGGCTTAACTCATCGTTATCACAAAAAGAATGATAAATCACATCATGAATACTTAACTTCAATTCCTTACCTCCCGCGACCAGGTTGCTAGCTCAACCTGCACTCAGCTCCTTAACTCGGCTCCAGTTTTACAAGAAGAACGATCGATCATACTAAAGTTGTTGCTCCGACTCACTGATTTCTACATAACTCCAAACGAAACCTGCTTACTACAGATCCATCCCAGCATACTGCGAAAACTGCCACTCCATGAATACTTCGACTCCTGGTCTTGAGAAGGCAAATTTCTACGCTCTTTAGACACGAATTCAACCCTCATGGCCGCTTGTATCCTTCGAAAGTTTGACTGTTATCCCACCAATCATTGTGACACCTTTCTCGTGCGTCATTGGCTCGCGCCATTCTGACATCAATTATAATTTGTTTTGACAAAAAAAATTTTTGTGACAAAATTTTGTTCCACATTTACCCTAAATGATCCATTTCTTTCCAGACGTAAGTATTTCTCTACGGAAATTCTCCTAATCCCTTGTTTTTTAATTTTGGGCCTCCTTTTTTCCAGGACTGACTTTTCACAACCGGCATTTTTTCACAACCGGCATTTTTGAAGAGACTCCTTTATTTTCGTGGTAAGGCCAACCTCTTTTTTTTCTTTGTTTACCGTCGAATGCGTTTCCTGATATTGGGTCGGTCGGTCGGTCGGTCGGGTTGAAAAAAAAAATCACAAGGAGTCTTGGGATAGTAGGACAACGTTAAAAGTTAACATTCACATATTTGGATTAACAAAATGTACAATATCCTGTGAAAAATTTTCATGTTTTTGTTCCTGTTTTTCTCTATGCTGTTACTATGCTCATTTTTCAGATTAAAAGAATTATTTTGAGTGAAAAATGGTGTAACTACGTCATTACTTTTTTTTTTTGAAAATGCCAAAAAATTTGGGTCGGGCGGACGACGGTAAATGGAGAAAAAAAGAGGATGGCCTAAGATATTTTCACTTTAGCTTAATTAATTTATTCCCTTAAACTATTCAACTGACACTTTCCGCTTTACCGTTCCATTTATCATTTTCAAACTCTATTTACATACAAAGAGACTATTGTTCTGCCCAAAGTTTTTTCTTCTTCTTCTTTACTCTCTCTCTCTGTATCTCTCTTCTCGCTACTTCCCGGCCATTTTTCTCCCCTCTTCCTTTTTTCTTCTCAAGGACTCGACAGAGGATTTCGGGCAAAGGCTTGGTGCCGGGCTAGAAACATCCTCGCTCAGTTGTGCTTTACCCCTGATGATTCACAACATTACAGGAGCCTTGGTGTCGATGCATCCTTTTTTCTTTGCCATACCCGGGTACTCCCATTCTCCTTCACACTCTATCTATTCTTCTTCTGCTTCCTTTTTCCTTAAATAACAACAGGACAATTTTGTCCAACTTGTGACGCTAATTAATAGTTAATAATTACGAATTACCACCCTAATGCTCTTATCCCCACCTTCTACTTCACTCCCTCATCTATTATCTTAACAGACTACTTTCTACTTATGGATAACAACCACTCTACACTCCACTTTTACCATCACCATCTCTGCAACCTCTCACATCAATCATCCAGCAACGACTTCAACTTTTTAATTCATTCAACAGCGATGCTCTTTATCCACTTTCTGTTTGGCCACAATAGTTTAAGTTAATTTCTGGAAAAAACCAATCAGCGACAAGGACACGTTCAAACTGTTTTTATTTTTAATTGGCAATGGCTGTTCACCCCACCTGATTTCATATTGGCTCTCACATGACAACACTGGACTACCGACAAAAAGGCCGAAAAGCGTGCTCGTCAACTAGATTTCCTACTCAGCAACATGGACAACAAGTCGCATATCTGGTTCTACTTCAATTTACACTGTGAAGAATGGCTATACCTTAACGGACAAAAAAGATCGACTAACAATTAACAACTAACCCTTTTAAAGGGGCTATGTCACCCCACATGCATGCGCGAGCCAATGAAAACAAACTTGAAAAAGTCAGCCCGACTTTTTCAAGTTCTTTTTTTTTTTATTTTTTAATTTTTTAACGAAGACTAGTGAGCAGCACAAAGGGAGACTTCTTGTAGTTGTAAGCTTTTTCGTTTATTTCCGACGCGTTTCGTCTCTTACTGAGACTTCTTCAGGGAATGAATACAACTAGCAAAGAACAGCATATATAACACGTTGTGTGCGTAAGTAAAACTTCCGGTGGAAGTGAATAATAACTTAACTATGCTGTAAACGGGCGTTGCAAGAAACGCCTTGATACATATGTTATTGCGTGTTGCTATATTTGTTTGGGGGCCATACGATT